GTGATTGGAGAAGGGGGAGGAAGAGAAATGTGGAAGAGGACAGGGAGAGAGAGCACAGACAGGAAAACTGCAGAAAGCCACAGGGAAAGTACGGTACAGCCTCAGATATTTTTATTTTAAACTTACTTCTAGTTTATTTCCCCACCACTCCTCTTGGCTCCTGCCTAACTGGGTCGCGTTGGGGATGTTTGGCATGGCGCTCTCGCTTTTGTTCGTTTTAATTCCTCCGGGCCCCCTTCCTCTGCCCGAGGATTACTAGATCCCGAAGTCTCCTGCTAACAACCTAGATCAGCAAGCTCAGCCTACTGTACCACCGCCGGTCTAGATTTGTTGTTGCTGCTGTTAAGTAGCACTTTCTTCCTTGTGCAGATGCAGAGCCCTTGTTGTCAATATTCATTTTTTTCTAGTACAAGATGGGAGCAGCTTAACTCGGAGCATAGTCCCTCGGTGAGCTGCAGACAGTGGACCACCTCGGAGTCTAGGGGTCCTGGAAGAAGGAAGTGAGACGAGAGTTAGTGGGGTAGGAGTTAGCGGAGAGGGAGTTGTTTGTTGTTTGTTGTTTATCGATATAGCCAAGTGTGTGTGTGTGTGTGTGTGTGTGTGTGTGTGTGTGTGTGTGTACGCGGGTACAACCGCGCGCGACCGGTGTGCGCCTACAAAGTGAATCTTGGATCTGGGAAGCACTGGAGGAGAGCGATTAAAAAGCAACTGGAAGAGAAGATACTTGTGAGGAGTGGCTGTCGCTCGCTGCCCAGCTTTGTTGTGGTTGCCCTGGGCTCAGCGGCCGCTCGGCTGTAACGAGGGCTAAAGGCCGAGTTAATTACACCGGGCAGATTTCGCTGGGTGGGGAGGATGGGACTGGCTTCTAACGAACTTTTCCCAAAAGGAAAAGGAGGCGAGTGGGGTTAGAAAGGTAAATACCCGACAAGGTTTTGGTAGAAACTTGTTCTGGCCGGGGTCCCGCTCAATCCCTGGCCTGAGTTCCAGCTGGCTTTACCTCTGCGCCGCTGCTTCCCGGAGGCTGCGCGTCAATCAAGCAGAGCCGAGAGCTGGGGGCGGAGCTTTGGTCACCCCGCGCGCGTAGCCCGGCTCACCCTGCCGCCACCCGGCAGCTGGCTGAGCGACCCAGCCAGGCACTGGGAGCGCGCCTTCTCCCCAACTTCTCACCCTCGCCAAGGGTTCCCTGCCCGAGGCCAAGAGAATCTCAAACAGACTAAGGGACTGCTGTTCTACCGCGGCCTCCCTTCCCAACTCTGAACCCATTCATTCTGTAAAGTAGAAAGCAGCGCCTCCTGCTTGGATGGCTTTGACTGGACTTTCTCGTGGGGGCGGGAGGGGGGAGGAAGGGATGGATGGGAGTGGTTAGGAACAGTAAAGGAATGTGTGTGTGTGTGTGTGTGTGTGTGTGTGTGTGTGTGTGTGTGGGGGTGGGG